AAAAGAAGAAATTATAGAGACAGAAAGCGGGTTAATGGTTGTGTCCGGTGAGCAGGAGCAGGGAAGGCGGGCGACGGTGAAAGCGTGCAGGGTTCTTTTCGAGGTGATGAACGTGTTCTCAAATTGAGTGTGTTTAGCGTGAACATACTAAAACCCAGCGCACTGAAGTCACACTCAGATGGAGGAATTGCACGGCACGTGAAATATGTCTCAATACAACTCTTTAAAGAAAAAGAGGAAAAGGATGAACTAGTGAGGAGCTTTGCACAGACCGTGGCTGAGGAGGGTGATAACGCAGCCTGCTGCCCCTGAAGGTGCAAAAAGAAAAAGAAAGATACCCAACCACCCCCAACACGGGCCCCGGGTGCTGGGCATCTTGGGGCCTTGCTGACCCTGGAGGCACCATCCCTGTGAGGGTCCCACCATCAACGCTGCAGGTGACCAGTCTCCTCCACGTTGCAGACCAGGCTGTCACTTGCCCAGCTCAGGGGCTAGGAGGTTCCAGAGGCAGAGTTTGCTCTGGGGCAGCCCAACTATCCCCACCTGGGAACCCCTGGTTCCAGCTGCCGCTTTCTTTGAGCCTCCCCAGGAGAAGGGGGCGAGGAGGCTGAGCAGGTGGACCCCGACGGTGAGTGGGGGCAGGATTTGGGGCCCACCCAGGGCAGGTCCCGCCCCTGCTCCGGCCTGGCCACCTGTGTTGGAAGAAGCTCTCGAGGGCCCGGCAGACCCCGTAGCGCTCGGGAGGCGTGAGCAGGCGTTCCAGCTGCTGGCTGAAGGTCCTCCCCTGCACGCGGATGCTGGCCGGCAGGATGTCCGCCACCCACTGCAGGGAGGTGAGCGCCGCCGACGGGCTGGAGGAATCCAAAGAATCGGAGTCTGCAGGGTCACAGGCAGGAGAGGCCCGGGTGACCCGGCGTCCCCAGGCCCGGGGCCCTCCTGACTGGGTGTGGCTGTGGGCACCCTGCATTGGGAGGCACATCTGCGGCCGCAGCTGAGGATGGAGGGAGAGCCGGGCAGGTCCTACTGGGGTCCACAGCACCAAGGGGGGGATGCTGTGGGTTTGGGGGGTAAGCAGAGGGGGCCCCTCAGGGTCTCTGTGGAGTGGGGGTCTCACCGCTGGGGAACGGGACGAGTCCCTCCTCTACCACCAGGGTGGGCATCGCGCCACTGCCCTGCAGCATGGACACCACCTTGTCATGGGAGCAGTTCCTGCCAAGAGCAGAGATGGCCCAGGAGGGCCTCGCCAGGTGAGTCCCGTCCACGGCCGCCCGCCGGACACCCCGCCCGTCCTGCCTGCAGAGGCCACTCAGCAAGTCCCCAGCACGGCCTCTCCTGACAGGTCCTCTCCGCAGGAGCAGCTCCAGGGCACAGAAGGGCTGGCACCCATCCCCCCCACCCCTGGGCAGGGCTCCCCCTACAGGGCAAGACTTTCAGCTCTGTGCCCTGCGAGGGGCTGGGGCGTTTTCTGGTGGAAGGATGAACTGATGTCCTGGCGAGGGTGGGAGAATAGATTCAGGAGTTCCCCTAGGATGAGGGGCAGACCCTGGGGACCCACTGGGAAGAGGAGATCAGGACCAGGGCTGGGGCTCCCGAGAGGCAGCAGTTTTGGGGGACAGTTCTCCGCCAAGCTCTGGTGTCCCCAGCAGCCTCTGACCTCATGTCCAGTCCGTTGAGGAAGAGGATCCGGTCGCCCGACCTGAGGGCGGCATTGTCAGCCGGACTCCCTGGAGGCAAGAAGAGAGGCCGCTGGTCAGGGCGGGTTGGGGGGCGCCTGCCTCCTAGGCGAGGGAGTCCGCATTAGACCAGCTCAGGCCCTGCGCCTCGCTCGCTGCTCTAGCCCGGAGTGATTCCAGGCACGCGGGGGCGCTGGGGCGGCCGGTCAGTCCTGAGCGGTTGGAGATGAGCTGAAACCAAGATCTGCGAGCAGCATCTCTGCAGCGTCTGCGCCCCCAGAGGACCCCACTCCACACAGCTGTCCTCCGAAGGCCCACACCAAGGTTCCTCCCTGCCGTTGTCACCGGAGGAAGTGCCCCCTGGCGGCCGGGCTGGGCAGAGCAGCACACCTGGATTGTAACTGGCCCAGGCCAGGCGGCTCTGCCCACGCGTGGGGAGGCAGGGAGGTGGGGTGGGGGCGGCAGAGTTGGAAGAGACACATCCAAAGAGGAGAGATGACTCGTTTCCAGAGGACGCTCCCCAGAGAGCAGCTTCGGACCTTGTCGCAACAACAGCATGTCAACGACAGTGGTACCCAAATCCGAGGGGACCTGGGCGCGTCAGCCACCAGGGTCAGACCTGAGTATCCAGTGGCTGGCACGGTGGGGCAAAGGCCCTGACGCTTTCCCAGGAGGCAGAAGACGCCCATTGTCCAGACCAGTGCGCCCGCAGACGTGAGAGGCAGGAGGGTGGGAGGACTCAGCCTCAGCCGGGCACCCATGGGGACGGAGCCCCCAGAGCACCACACTCACGTGCTGGGAGGGGATGGGTGCCAGGCAGAGCAGGTAGCCCAGCCCTGGGGGTGGGTACAGGGAGGGAGAGTTCAAACCCACACTGGATGGGCTGCCTCAGCAAGACATGGGTCTCTTCCCCGTCACCCCCCACCCCTTCCACTGGAGGGTGAGAAGGGGGAATTCCTGCTCCGCCTTCTGCAAGATGCCGCCATTCCGGGAGCAAGAAGGCAGGCGGGGCAGGGTGGGAGGAGGAGGGGTGACCAGTAGGGTGTGGGTCTGGCTGCCTGGCAATGCCCTTTCACAGTGAAGGTGGCCCCTGCACAGGGAGTGTGGTTTGGGCCCAGCTTGGGCAGACATCTGCTCCGTTCCGGCTGCCTGGCCCCGGTGCCCCGCCCTCCAGGTGGGCATGGGATGGTCTGGGCGGAGAGCTTGTTTCACTCGGCTCAGGGGTGACCCTGAGCTTGGACGGCGTTGCCCAGCCACGAGATGGATGATTTGGCTGCTGCCCTGGGACGCTCGCTTGGAGGACACAGGCTACATGAGGTGGGTACGGGGCGGGCGGGAGTCGGGGTGCTGAGCGGCGGACCAATGGGGCCCTTCGCCCCATCCTGGACAACCCGCCCAGCCCTCACCTGGCAGGACAGACTCGATCCAGACGGGCCCGTGGCCGCGCAGCGTGAAGCCGAAGCTCTTGTTGCCCTTGTAGACGCGGACCGTCCTGGGGAGAGAGGCGGGGGTGGGGGTGGCAGCGGGCCCTGCCCTGGGATGCCGAC